AAAGTCCCTTCCTGATGTGAAAACCAGGTGGGAAATGAGGAAAAGGATGTCCATCCAGTAGGATCAAAAGACAAATGAATCCATTTGAATTTGTGGGTTGAGCCCTAAGAGATCAGTGGCAACATAATCAAAACTCTTGGCTGATACCCAAGGACCAAAATGCCTTTACAACTACAGAAATACTTTTCAAATCTACTATAAAGAGCTAAAGAAATCCGTACATTGCCACAGCAAAACCCCAAACAAGCTCTTTCCCAACCGCTGCTAAGAGGCAGGACACGCAGATCATTCAGACCAAGGGACAAGCCTTGGTCCATGGCCAGACAACTTGTCTGTGCAGTAACTGGTCCCTACACCTGGGAAAGAAAGTCAGGATGGATCATAGCAGTTGAAGTCAAAACCTTCAAGAAAAAATAACCAAACCTCAGCAAGGTTTGCAGTTCCCCATCCTTGACACTGTTTTGGACTTGGTTTATTCTGAAAACTGTGGACCTTTTTAGAAAACTGTCTCCGATTAAAACACTTTTAATCACTTGAAAAGACAAATTTTGGCTTGCAGACTACAGGCAAGATGCTTTCCACTGACTGACAAAGCCAGGGCTGCCCTTGGAAGAAAAACTGCACCCCGAATAATTTCCACCTAGTCTCCCAAAGAGCAAGAAGTGGTATTTACTCACCCAGTCCACAATAAGGATTTTGCTGACGTTCAGCCTTTGCTGGAGCAGCTTGGCTGCTATGGCCACTGAGTTAAAATAGCAGAAACCCCTGGAGAGGGAGAAAAGAGGAAAAGAAGAGGTGTTAATTATAGCTTTCCACGGTCCTAGTGCATCCAGCACCTAGACAGAACACAGCAGGGAGGAATCTCTTCTGTTCTCACTCTTCTTTCCTCCCTAGAAACTCAGAATCATGGAATGAGTTGGGTTGGAAGGACCTTAAAGTTAATCTAATCCAAACTCCAGAAATGGGCAAGGGCACATTCCACTAGACCCGCTTCCCACTGGAAGACGGATGTGCTGAATTCCAGCAGCAGGCATCCTACCACCTCCAGGGAAACAGGGAATGTCCCACCCACTGCAAGGAGATGCCGTAAAATTCTGATTCTTGCTGGAAAACACCCACCTGAAAGCACTAGGCAGGATCTTACCTTCTTCGAAAGGATTACTGGGAGCTTTGAACATAATACATCTCACCTATCAATAAACAGAAATCCTGCAGTGATAACCTGACAAAATTCCTTCTGAATTTCCAGCTGTGGATCCCACATCAAACAAGCAGTGAAGCATGTCAATAAAGCCCATCCTGATACTTACATGGGTGTGCTCTCTTCTGCGTGGTGCCCCGGAGGCCGAACAACAGCAAATCCATTCTACACACAAAAGATAAGACAAGGAAGAAGTGAGGGGGACAAGGATGGATGCAGAGGCTGCAGACAGAAGCATTAATTCTGCTTTTTAACTAAGGAGTTGTTCTTGATGGTTTTCTCATAAGACTGTAGTGATAGATGATGCTTTCCCTCATTCTGGAGTGGGGGGACAGGTCCTGGATCTCCTGCGTGACACAGCCCTGAGCAGGCTCCTGTACAGAGATGCCAGCACAACTGAGGGTTATGATCATACCAACCTTCAATTCTCCCGTGGCTACTTTGAAAACGAGCTCAATAACACAGCCTACAGCCAGGCGAGCAGCGCCGGACGAGTGGACTTCATTCCAAATTGTGTCACTGTCGACCTACGGGAGACACATGGGAACCATGGTTAGGAGCAGTGAGGACAGCCAAGAAACAAAACACTTGTGTTTTATAAAGACATCATTCATATGGAGTGACAGGACAACGGGGAATAGCTTCAAACTGAATGAGAGGAGGCTGGAGCAGCTCTGCCATGGGGACAGGCTGGAAGAATTGGGGTTGTTCGGTCTGGAGAAGAGAAGGCTCCAGGGAGACCTTAAGAGCCCCTTCCAGTACCTAATGGGGCTCGGCTCCAAATGGAGAGGGACTCTGGACAAGGGCCTGGAGTGACAGTACAAGGGGGACAGGACTTAAGCTGACAGGGCAGGGTTAGATGGGATATTGGGAATAAATTCTTGCCTGTGAGGGTGCTGAGGCACTGGCACAGGTTGCCCAGAGAAGCTGTGGCTGCTCCATCCCTGGAAGTGTTCCAGGCCTTGGAGCAATCTGGACTAGTGGAAGATGTCCCTGCCCTTGGCATGGGGTAGAACAAGATGAGTTTTAACAGGACTTAAGCTGACAGGGCAGGGTTAGATGGGATATTGGGAATAAATTCTTGCCTGTGAGGGTGCTGAGGCACTGGCACAGGTTGCCCAGAGAAGCTGTGGCTGCTCCATCCCTGGAAGTGTTCCAGGCCTTGGAGCAATCTGGACTAGTGGAAGATGTCCCTGCCCTTGGCATGGGGTAGAACAAGATGAGTTTTAAGGTCCCTTCCAACCCAAACCATCCTGGGATTTTATGATTCTGTGACCATGGTATCAGTATCAATTGCTGCAGGAAACTGATCCCACATGAAATAAAAAGGTGTACAAAATCAATGATATGATTTGTTGTGTCTGGCTCACTGAGCTGTGAGAAGATGCAAGTGACCACACAGGAGACTGATCCAACTCCTTCACGGTTTCTGATAGCATCCCCCGTGAGGATGCTTTGGAAGCCACACTAAACCAAGAAAGCATTTGGAGAATACCAAAACAGTCACCCCTGTGCCTCTGGGAAACATCACTGCATGGGTGGAAATGCCCTACAGTGACTATTTGTGGTAACAGGGCTCCCCTGGACCTCCATAAGTTTGGGCAGTAACATGGGAATGGAAGTATAATGGGGCCTGAGGTAAGTGCGACAGCTTCAGAAATCCTGGATCAGTACTGTACACAGGCAGGAGATGGGACTGATCCGACCAGACCCTCAAAAGCCCCTAACAAGGTGGGAAGAAGATCAGGCTGCTTCTCCTCCCCAACAACCAGTGCATTCATGCTCTATGAGAGTTCATCTTTGGGCTTCTATCTCTATATTTAACCCATCCATGAGGGCATCTAACCCATGTTTGGGCACATCTAATTGATCTTTGAGCATATCTGACCCATTTTTCTTTGTCTTGAAAAACAATACTGCAGGACAGCTGCAGGACACCAGTAGGTAAGCAATTCCCTCTGCCTGGATACAGCAAGTGGAGGTCTCCTTCCACAGATGCAGAATTACAGAGGAATACCTTCACTCCCTGTGAGGCACCAGAAGAATGGAAATACAAAGAAACCAAAATTCACATGTCCTAAGGGAGCAGCAGACCCCTGGATCACCTCAGATGGCTGCTGGTGCCAGTTTTCCCCACAAAGCATGAAGAAGTCACCAGTGCTGGAGCCAAGCATCACCACATCTGCCAGTGGATGCCTGGAGAAACCAGACCAGTGCTGGTAGCTTCTCAAGAAGAACGAAGAGGGCATGACAGAGTGGATTTACAGGCATAGTACTTCTGCAAAAAGAAACTGAGTACTTGGAAAGAAGCATTCCCTCTGAGATTTAGAAGCCAATTTGAAGGAGTCTGCTGTGCCCTCACCCAGCTCCCCAGCAGGAGGACGACTGGATCCAGAGACAGCTGCTGCCACTTGTAAGCTCTCCACTGCCCCATTCCACATGCAAACATCTCCAAGATAAGGATTTAACACACAGTCGCCTTCCTGGAACGGATGTCTGGAGACCACTAGACCCTAATCCAAGGCAGCACTTCATCATCTGTGTGACTGGGAGTGTTGGAATGGTCCCACTGAAGCCGTTGGTGCTCTGCAGCAGTGGGTGTAGGCGCTGCCATGCTGGAAAATGTTGCTCTGAGCTGGACTGCTCTCCAGATCCAAGGCTGCTGCTGCTTGGTGCACAGGCTGCTGTTGACCCCTTCGTCATTGCTCAGTTCTGAACTTCATTACAGGGGAGATGCTATTTGGCTTTCCCTGCCTCAGAGTTCTTTGATGTAGCTGCCATCACAGGAGTTGTTGCTGGGACAGCAGATCAAGCCTTACCATCTGGAAGGACTTTACGAAGAGAGGAAGCATATTTCTTGCCTTTTGTTAATCCAACATTGTATATGTCTCCTTTTTTCCCCCCAAGCTGGAGGATACAGTTGCGTCAGAGATACCAGCTCTTCCACATCTGCTGCTGTTGAATGAGGAGCAGTTGTCCTGCTCAGCACATGTGCTGTCTCGAGGATAATATCAATGCCTTGCTCATTCTAATGAAGGAGCTGCTTCGTGAGTCCCTAGAGAGGGCTCCTGTAGAGGTGGGGAGAGGGAATTCCATGCCTGGGACCTGTGCAGGCTCTTAACCTCCACATGGGATGAAGGTCAATGGCTTGATGCAGGCTCTCTTCTCAAGGCAATGTCCAAGATATCTTAGGGTGAAACTCAGAGAGGTTTGCCTTCCTTCTAATAAAAATTCTAATTTTCTTATAATAATCTCCTTCCTTCAATAAAAACTTTTACCAATATCCATGATGCAGCTTCTATTCACACTGTAAACTCTACACTGCACTAACATGCAGCTGTTTCAAAGCTAAATGAGCATCTCACCAAAGATTTCACAATTCTACTCTTTATCTGAAGAGCTACATGGGTAAAAAATTAAGTATAGGTTGTACCACAGCTCCAGCCCCTGCAAAGTGAAGTGGTTCTGCTCGTCCCTCACCACTGCTCAATAATGCTCTGGGGTGACAAGAGCGAGCACCATCTGTGCTGCCAGTCAACTCTCTGCACCCAGCCAGGTCTGATTCCTCCTCATTTTGTTCCTCTAAGACTTAGTAATTAGTATCTCCTTATTCCCATTCCACACAAGTCCTTCTCGTGGTCTCTGCTCTGTGCGAATATGCTTTGCTTGCACAGGTGAAGATTATGAGACACTCGAATCATAGAATCATAGAATCAACTGGGTTGGAAAAGAATTCAAAGACCATCGAGTCCAACCCCACCGTGGTTACTAGACCACAGCACTAAGTGCACATCTAGTCTAATCTTCAAAACCTCCAGGGAC